ATGTTTGACACAGCTGAAATTGTTTCTCCTTTACATTCCTTTGAATCGTGATTTTATAAGAAAACTAAGTGAATGAACTAAAAATGCTAGATTTTACGCTTTAGTTTTGTGTTACAACAGTGCAAGAAGATTTTACGATGAAACTTTACATGTTTACGTAACAAAGAAAGTTGAAACAAGATAACGAGCTCTGGTCAAGTTTACATTGTAGTTTGTTATTCGAGAAATATTTTTGTCAGCTAATAAATTCTTGATCTACAACAGTGAAGAATAAAGTTCTAACTTAGTTTTATTTAATGCTATTTACGAAACAACTTACAAACAAAAATCTGTATTGTCAAAGATGAAAATCTCATTAAAATGGTAATCATTAAATCGATCCAAATTGTCCATTTGACTTTGTACCTTTTCATTGACTATCGATTTCTTCCTAAAAGAAATCATCGTACAATTTCAAGAAGTTTTATGACTATAGAGGTAGACTCCAATAAGCCTATACGTAACATTTACCTCACTATATTTCAAACTACTCAACATGTTACAAGTAGAAAGAATGTCAAGTGTCACATCTAGTAGACAATGTGTCAACAATCTGGACCGTCATTTGCCACCATTGTACTTACTATCGACTTTCCTGACCTTGTTACCATCGAACGTGAGAATTTGGCTTCGAAGATAGTAATCAAATTTATGCCTTCATTACCACCCTTATGTAAGGTCAAAGGAAAAACTGGGATGGAAGATCTAGATTGGCGTAGGTATTTATAGACAGGTTTCCAGTTGCTGGTAAATGTCAGGATGTAATAGTCCAAAATCTGAGTTTATCACAAAGGACTTGGATTTGTCGCTTTCACGACTCGTAGGACCCGTAGGACCAGTAAGGCAATGTGGCATAATCGGATTCGATAAAAATGTTTCTTCCCTTTTAGATTTTTGGTTAAATTTCTGAAAAATAAGATATTAAGATAAGACAAAAAAGTAATGGGTTATAGTATGATATTCGTCGAAAGATTATCTTTCCACGAATATCATAACCGAAAATCATTTTATTCACGTATCCTTCCAAGAACTTCTTTATCAATCAATCCTAAATAAATATTTTCCTATATTTTCTATATGGAATATAGTAATAGTAAAGTAACATGGTGTCTGAAGTTAAATGTAAGTTTGTTATGATTCAATACGTGACTGATTCCGTAGTACTAGGGTTGCAGGAAATGTTTGTATGTAACACGTTGTGACGTCACGCGCCACCGTTCCGCGCCCCGTCAGTCGTTTTTAAATCACATTACGCACGGAATTGTTCGGTTTCATGAATTTTGATTATGTTACTACACTGTTCTCTGAAATCTACATTCCTGCAGCTGTGCAGTACAAAATATTAAAATTATATTTCCAATCTTATAAAAACCATTATTGTTATTTTGGTTTCAAAGGAAAGGGAATGTTTAATTTATTAAATTACTTATTTTACAAAATAAACTTTGCCAGAGTCTGAGAAAACTGAAAACATGATTAAAGAAAATGAAGGTTTTATTTACACTTTTACAAAATTATTCAGCTGTGAAAAACATTTTATATTAAAGATAAGAATTTAAGTGATTCGCTATTAAAAATACCTAGAATTTGGCACAAATTAAATACAATAGTTACTATTTACATGAGACGAATTTTAGGAACGTCAGAATATTGAAAATATTCAAAAGACGAAAATATCCTGCAATAAACTGCGCTCCTGGTAAATGGGTTGTTGATTACGGAAGGGTGTCTGTACGTACACGCACTAACAAAATCAGAAATTTATATCTTCGCTTCGGTTTTAAAAATCTTGACATTTTATTATAACCTTCAAAATCAATATTACTACGTAAAAAAAACATTGTTATTGATATTGTTGACATTTACATGTACGGCAGTGAAATCAACTTCATTTATTTTCGTACCCAAGAACCAGGAAAATTATTGATTGAAACAAATTGTTTTTATCAATGAAAAAAAATAGGACCAGGATATTATAACTCACATGATACATATCATAAGTAATTAAGATAATAACTGCACAAGAATAGCAATAAAAATACTAGGGCATTATGAAAACACGAAAAAATTATAAATTCGTTGCATAAAACTAAACAACGTAGAAACGATTAGATTTAACATTTTTCTAACAACAATTTGACGTTGTCATGTTGACAGTTGGACAAGATGGTGGCAGTGAATTCATGAAAGCAGAGTTATAACTAAATACATAAATTAGATGATAAGTTTTACTTGACTATTTAATATTGAATAAATAAATTATCAGAATTGGAGTACTATTCTCATAGGTAATAATAGCTCGGCTTTGAAAAGATTCGAGCAACTCATAAGTAGACAATAGCAGTGATATCTCCTCGCATCGAATGTTTCCTTCGATGTTTTCCATTCTATTGTTTCCGTGCATTTTGTTATTAGCCCAACTTTTTGCTTTCAATACTAATCCAGAACTACTTGAAATTAGTTATCGTAGATACTTTAGATTTGAATCTAGTCCTTACAAAAGGCTTCTTATAATTAAACTGGCTTTTACTACTACAGAATCCCCTGTGGCAAATATCTTACACAATTTTCCAGTTACTTGTTTCAAAACTTATATTTTCACAGGTGTCTGGAGTAAGGTGACTTAAAAACCTATTACAGTAACTTAACGTGCGAACTTAACGCTAAAGTTGAACGTAGGTTTAACGCTAAACTGTCAACACAACTCGTCCCGGCCTTATTCTGTACATTACATTAACTTAATCTTATTCGCATCAGCTTCTCTCCAACATATGTAAATATTACAAATTTTTATTTTTTTTCTCGTGACATAAAACATCGAAATTCAGTGCTTGCTATTTATAGAATAATTGATTTTATAATATAATTTTATTTTTTACGACATTTTTTATTACAATCATCACTGATTACGTAGCTGTATTTTGTTTTTATCAAATAAATGGCCTTTGGAAACAATATTCAACATTCGTTAAAAATAAAATGCAATATAGAATAATATACATCCACCCTATCTACAAATTACTGAGCATTATTTTCACATTAACACCTATCTATACCACATCTCCACGCAATGCCTTACAGGAAAACAAACTTCTAACTTCCAATCTCTGCCGTTTACTTGGAAACTTCCATAGGGACCCCCATGAAAAGTCATATCACATCAAATATGAACGTGATAACAGACAACAGCGCGTTATTGCGAGTAAAACAGTAGGCAGGCACGGTCAAAGAGCTCTAAAAGCTTATTGGGCCTGACAATGGATTGAGCCTCGAATTCCCAGCGCCATTTCAAAGAATGTAACAGACAACAGACACACGCAGGTCGCGGACACTGCAAATTCATTCAAATGTAATACATGTTTACTTCTTTCTGCGTTCTATTCTCCTTGTACTTTGTAAAGTATTCTGATGTTTTTGTATAGTTATTTTACGCGCTCTGTAAAATTCCCACATTACCTATAAACATTTCGGATGTAATGTGGAATTTAATAATGCGCAATTTATTTATCTCAATGTTTACACTGAGAGCAAATATTTTGAATAGTTTGTTTAAATAACTCGTTTCGTATTTCATTCCATAACAATTATGTTTTTGTTTATTTACATTTTCTCAATTTTAATGTTTTAACAAAAAAAAAGGAAATGTTTTTAACATCATAACAGATATTTGCGCATTTAACAAAACCTAGATCTGATAAATTCACAAACGTAAATTTTTTGGGATTTTTTCAAGTACTGATTTTGTATCTCACTTTAGGTTGGTACTCAGTTAAGAATAAAAATCTAACAACGACAAACTTAAAAAATATATAATTTTTAGGAAGGATAAAATAACATTATTTATATTATCACAATATCCACTTTGTTACTTTATCATACGCCACTAAAATACAGCTACGTAATATTTGCAATGTTTACACGCCAAAACAGACTCACATTTGATTGTACAATGTACCAGGATTTCATAAATATTGAACGGAGAACAGAAATAAAAGATCACTGAATGTTCCTACGATTGTTCGTGTTATGTATTTACGAAGATACAATTGATACGGGGACTCTTTGATGCTGTCTGGCATAGTCACATACATGTATTCATTCATAAACATACATACATATTTATAATACGTCTTTTTATTGATACTTTGTTTGTGAGTGAAACGCTATGATATTGAACGGATATGTTAAAAATTAAAGCGTACAATGTCACGGTAGCTTATTTTGTAATGCAGATGGGAGACGCTTTATTTTACCGTAAATACAATGAACTATTATCGTGTAGGGTAGCTATAAAGCAAAAGTTCTTTTTTGTTGATTTCTTTGCAAATGATGCTATTACGGTAGTCTTAAACAGTGGCAACATTTCTTCAGTTCCGCATCTAATAGCTGCTTTTAGTTTACTTCTCGTGTTTGTGGAGTGGTACCAGGCAAGCAGCGGAACTTAGGAGAGTGATGTTGGAAAACGTCAAAATGAGAATGTTGAGTAGTAGAGTAACTTGAACGTTTTGCCAACTGTTGCTGAAACTAATCTACATTTTTTTACTTCCGAGCTCCGTTTCTACCCACGGCATCTTCTGAATTAATTCCCTGGCTTAAAATGTAGATTTTTAAGTTTGCACGTCTAAATGAACTGTTTTAAATTGAAGAAGTTGTTCAGTTTTAGCTAGCACGCTTCCTCATTCATTTCCCAGTATCGGAAAGTTACCGTACGTCTCTAAATTCAAAGGAATGGCCCATTAAAGTTCATCGGCAAGTTTTCTTCTAAAATTCCAGGAACCTTATCAATTGATACCTTGCTCTTTTACAGGCAGACATTTTTCCTCTGTAGAAAAATACCGTATTTACATTTCGAACTGGTTTCTAAGTCCCCTGGTAGTGTTGCCGTGTAAACATTGCAGTGATTGAATGGATATCTAACTATACTAAACGCTCGATACTTAAGCTGACACCTACAGCATCGATTAGACTTCACTCAAGGCACTGTATTTAGAAAATATATGTACTGAGATGCACAACGTGAGAATCAGTACTGTTGCTTCCAACATGGTTGAGCTTGAACCTGTGGACAATGAAATGTTGGTTAGATTTTATATCATTAACAACATACGTCTCGGTCAGGTAAAAAATCATTAATATAGTGTTACATTACATTAGGGTTATAACATTAGGTACTAATATCTTCTACTATTCAGTGGCCGACTATAACGTCCTACGAACTTGTATCACAAACCCATCAACTCTATCATTTGTTCGCTCAATGAGCCATACACATTCAGGCAATTAACTTTTCTTTGATAACGGAGAAAACCACTCGACCAATAACAGATTTGTTATCGAGTATTGAAACGAAGTTATTCGAGAATCATGTGCGTCCATGTTCAGCCATAATTGCCGATATACCATTGATCGTCCATCTGAGCAAGAAATTGCACATGCCTCGATGAAGCTCTTTGAAATACCAAATATCTGAATCAAAAATTGTACTATAATATTCCAATATATGAAGCGAGTAGTATAATACCCGCCCCAACGTCATTTTTTATATTTATAAATCAAATTGTTCGTGTACGCATAAAAGGTAGTAGATATGAAAGTTGGGCTTTGTATTATATTTCTCTATTATTTACAGTAAAAAACATGGTTGGTCGATAAAAATATTTTTATAATATACATCAAACGACGTGTTTGTATATTACTATGTTGTGGCTTATATGTGTGTAACTTTCAGTCATCACCACCAAATTAAAAACCCCTCAAAATATATTGTATACGATAAACATACGAACTTTCCTAGAGTATTTCGCAAGTTCCCGAATAGTTGAGAATCTTCACTTAAACTCAGCCAGACTCCAAAACTTATCGCTAGACCCTTTGCGAAATTAGACAAATAACCCTTAAGAAAATTAAGTGGTTTTCACCAGAATCGTGGAACGGAATGCAAGTCATCTCTGCCATGTCTTAATTACGTCTACCAGGGTAGCATAGTATGTTAATTAGTAGCTTGATGGAAACAAGCTGTCGCAGTTACAGTAGGTGAAGTTACATGTGCTGCAAAGATGAGATCTAATTACAAAGTTTAAGCATCTTCTATCATACATTTTATACAGTTGGTCGGATGGACTGAGAACACGTTGCATCATAGCGTCCGTCGGTGACAGACGAAGTTTGTCGGTTATATTTTTTTATCTTTTTGCAGCCATTCCCAGAATGGTGTACGAGTGTAATATGAAAATACCAGGCGAGCATAATTCTGAAGGAACTCGGTAACAAACTGTGCCCGAGTTTTTTCAAAGTACGTGCCACGAAAACATGATTTCATAAAAATATTTTTCTACATACCTACCATGTAAAGAAATCTTTTTTAGGCATTAAGTAGAAAATTCTATTTGAGTATTTTATAGGTCGTATTATTTTAGGATGTGTAGAATTTCATATTTTAGGTCAATTTCATCCCAAAATGTGGGGTATTGAATCAACATTTTCCTCGAATTGGAAATATGTAGGTATGCTCCTATGCTTTTATTTTATTCCATATCTGATAAGTATTTTGAATGAAATGATAGTGAATTAAAAGAGTACTTAATAAAATAATGTTAAACAGAATATTCCAATTAATAAATAATACCAAGTTTTCATAGTCGTATAGAAGTATCAAAACTCACCTGCGGCTGTAAACATAGATAAATGTGGCGACCTCGCAACTACCAGGGTCGCATTCGTAGCCCTTATGTAGGGGGGTTGCATTGGCTGTATGGCTTCACAGCGTAAGGCCATGAACCCTCTAGAGGTGGCCACCCGAAGTCGGATGGCCCGCCAACTCGATCGGAGGTTGAAGTCGTTGGCGTTTGAAACTGGCGTGTTATTATTCCTCGTACCAAAGTCCGTCTGTTAGGAAAATGTAAAAAATATGATTTATGAAATTAACTTTCCTACATTTTAGCGTTATTAGTAGCTAGCAACTGTCTGCCGCGCAACGTGTAGCGGGTTCGATTCCCGCACGGTCCGACTCTTTGTGTGATCCACAATTTGTTGGTTTGGATCTGCGTGTCATGTGTCTGTGAACTTGTATGTTTATAAACACACCCACGACGTGTGGCTATATTAAAAAAAAAACTGTTCTAGATATTTACAAAACTTATTATTTACATTTTATCGGAAGACAATCACAGAATCAGTCAAGAATATTGGTTTCAAGCACAACCAAGTTCTTATTAAAACCAAGGCTTTGATTCCTTATCCTAAATCAAGTAAGAAACTAAGAAACATTAGGCATTTATGAACAGCAACAATATCAAGGAGACACGAGAAACGTCATCTGATGCACATGCTCTTTTTCCATTATTCTTTACAATATTAGTATAAGTTTATACGTACCCTATCAGGTCTGCCGTCGATGTACCAGACGATGTTGGCCGGTGGCATCGCTGGCTTCGTAGTACAGTTGAGCAATACGTCCTCACCTAGCTGTACAGTCCCCGGCACTCCTGATATCACCGGATCTTCTTTCAATGTCACTGAAACAAATGTACACGTGAGACACAATTGTTTAATTTTTTAAAAACATAAACATAACATAACATCACGCCTTTTATCCCCGAAGGGGTAGGCAGTGGTGTACATTACGGCACTTAATGCCACTGTACAATGAAACAACCACTTTTCACTATTTATGTTATGAGTCCCATGTAATAAGGGGTGAGCCTATTGCCATATACTGGGCACAATTCCAGACTCCGAGCTACTACTAAGATTTTTTGATAAAGCCCAGTAATATTTTGCCCGACCCGGGAATCAAACCCGAGACCCCTTGCCCGGCAGTCGCAATTGCAATCTTTAAATCTTATCTTTAAAAACTTTCGTTAAAAAATGTCATAAAATAGCATGAGAACAAGTGCTCATATGAAAAAGTAAAGGTTCAATTTGAAAACGAGCTGAATTTTTGAATTAAAAATCTCAGTTACAATAGTCTGTAATTTTTCCATGTTTGAAAGAATCGCTTCGTGTTAAAATTCTTATTTAATCACTGTGAAACCAGGATTATTATTATTATATATAATTTCTTTTACTTTAATTAAAAAAAAATTAATTAAATTTTTAATACAAAATTAAAGTTTTGTGGCTGAGCAACCGGCTGCCGTGCAACGTGTCGCGAGTTCGAACAACACTTTGTGTGATCCACAAATTGTTGTTTCGGGTCTGGGTGTCATGTGTATGTGAACTTGTATGTTTGTAAACGCACCCACGACACAGGAGATAATACTAGTGTGGGACAACGTTAAAAAAAATGATTGAAATAATTTATTTATTTTGAATTCATAACAAACATTGACTAACAAAAAAATAAAATTACATCTCTATGACTTACCAGCCACTGTTAATTCCTTGGTCTGCTTGACTACAGCAAACCGTGGACCCTCGGTGGACACTTCACAAGTGAACGAGAGCTTAGTATTGTAATTCCTAGGGAGTATCACGCTGATGGCACAGCTGTTCAGGTTGCAGGAGCCTCTGGACACGCCCCCTGCCGTCGAGTTAAATGTCCTTGTCGGAGGCTGGGAGAGAAAGTGATTGTTAATAAATATTTGCTGAAGGTAAAATATTTTTGAGATATGTAAAGTTAAATTAACTAACTGCATTCGATATTAGTCTATGAATTTGGTACACACAGGCCACGGTAATCGATTACCATCAGGTGAGCCGTGTGTTTTTTTGCCATCGAGGTCGTGGTATTAAAAAAATTAAATAAATATTATCCGGATGTTTGTAAGCAAGCAGGATGTTGAAAAAATATAACAACAACCTTTGTTAAAAGATTAGCTCGTGGAAACAGTGTACACACAGGCTAACATCTACAAAAAATACACACAAAAGATAATAATGGGAATCAAAATACATTTACGAAATCTCAAACCACACAATCGTTGTATTAACAATCCTGAAAAAATACACAATAAACCTGATATTCCCGTTTAATTCACTGCTATTTATTTTCAAAACCAACAACAGCCCCATTTCTATATAATCCAGCTCAATGTACGGGTTCCGTACAAAAATATAGCATACATTTTGTGAACGTAATTTAGATACCAGGGCATCATAATACTTGAAGAGGTTAACTAACAATCGCTTGCTTAACATCAAATGAGTGATGAGAGACTATGGAATCATACACAGATTATTGTAAAAAGTAGGTACAGCTCCATTGTCTGTAAACAAACAAGAACATTTGACAACAAACAATGTCGTGGAAATTTTTTTACCTATCGCATGAATATATGTGCTTAGTTAGTTCTTAGTTCTCAACTGAAAAACCGATCGATGCTCAAGTCTGTTACTTAGTCACAAAATTAACTTATTAAATGATACATGTCTTAAAGATTTTTGTATCTAGAGCACATTAGATTACATAACAAAAAAGTTCATAGGAATTTTCCGAGAACATTTCCACTACTTTAAATTTAAGTTAATTTATTCAAGAGGTATTAAAAACGTTACAATGAACAATATTGTTATCTAAACATTTTAATAATTAATTTTATAAGTTACGTCAAGCTATTGCTGTGGCTTTAGACTAATTAATCAAAAGCGAAGCAAAAAGTAAAAACCCAGAAACGAATATCCCATATTATCACATCACATGACTTACAGTATATTTTACAATATTTTTTTCGATGACGATGACATAATAATAAAAATGTCAGTAATTACAATACATACTTATTAGTCGTATCAACATAATTATAATACTAGGACAGCAGACTTTACTAAGAAGTCAATCTGTTTACTATCCGATTAACAAGTTCTTTTTGAGTGAAGTGATAATGTGTTACTAATTAATGTTAATACAACAGTCCTTTACAATAAAACCCACTCCCTTAAATGTTAAATATCACTTACTAAGTTCACAGCAATCTTCATAATAATTTGAATAAATGCAACGAACGAAGTAGAGAAAAGCAAGACACCCACCTGTTGTCCTGGTGTGAACCTGAATATTTCGTTGCTGCCTCTGTACCACTTGACGGAGTGTAGTGCGGGGTCGCCCTGGTCGTTCATATAGTGGCAGACGAGGTTCGCTTCTTGGTGAGGGTCACCGTACATCGGTACCTCTAGAAACGTGATGTTGTGAGCTGTGGCTATCACTGTGGACAATGGAGAAATTGGTTAGTACCTAGTAAAAAACATAACATAACATCACGCCTTTTATCCTCGAAGTGGTAGGCTGAGGTGTACATTACGGCACTTAATGCCACTGTGTAACACAATGTAACACCCACTTTTCACTATTTATGTCATGAGTCCCATGTAATAAGGGGCACAATTGTACCTGGAATATAGCAATGGGCTCACATGGACTCTGAATTTCGTCGTCGTCGTCAGAATAAATCATATTCCCGTGGTAGATACTAAAATAAATCATTGCTAATATTTTGATTCAAACTCTCTCTAGTAAATACTACGGGTATTTACATTATTTACTTAAAACTTTATGTAAATAGTTCCTAGTGCTAGTATTGCTTAGACCACAATATATAGTACAAGGGTTACTCCCTTATATTGTAGACAGTATATATTTCAAAAAGGTCAGACTAGCAGCTGTTCAGTCTACGGTAAAATAAATAACTTCAGGTATTTTTTCAGCCCAATTCTGAGTCGTGCCCTCGTGTTCTAAATAGGAATTTACTTATACTTTCAATCAAATAGTTTAATTGTAAGTCTGGTAGTACCAGGGTTACAATTAAACTATTTTTAAATAGTGCCATTATAATTTGAATGGAACATAATTACTGCGACTTGACAAAATAGGTAATTGAGACCTGGGACGCGCCGGACTTCAGTGTTGCGGTGTTTTCATGGTTGTATCTACTTTAGATCCTGGCTTAAAGGAGTTGCAGCGGTTTTGGGAGGCTGTGTCGGACTTGTACCATAAAACACATAGGTAATTGGTAGGTGACTATCCGACAGATATACAATAATCATTCAAAAAACTTTATATATTCATAGTTGATAAAATCGTTTGATTCTTTGTCTTACTTGACACAAATGAGATAATCAAAAAAACACATATAAAAATGCATTAGACATTCTCCATGGACGTACAATGTGTTAAGTGATAAGTGTATCAAATAACAATCGACGCGTTTGTCTAATCCGTGCCTTTAGCCAAACGCCACTTAAGCGCTTGTCTACAGAGAGAGTAGAAAACTAAATGTAACCACTTGACACTGGCAGTATAGTCGACAACTTCGTTTTGGAGACTCGGTTGCTAAAAAGAACTAGATGTATGGGAATGACACTGACAAATGTCAAAATGTACGTCAATCCCATATAATTTGGTTTTCTATTCTACATGTAGACAAGCGCTAAATGGCATTTGGCTACAGCTGCTGACACTGAACTAAACACAAACAGAAGAAAGTAGGTCCCTGCCAAGGTAAGTAATACTGAAAAGCATTGTTTAGTTTTTACTTCCCGTTTTTGAAGAGATATGATTCCACTAATAATTATTTGTTAATTTAAATCTTTGAACAAAATTATACTTATCTTCATACGACAACAATACTTCCTATAGCAAATGTAAACTTTTTTTACTGAACGCCTTTCTATTCGCTGACTATCAGTTCTCATTAAACAAAACTTTAAACTGGAATTGTATCTTTTACAAGTGTTTACAGTAACAAAGAAAATACCACACTACGAGCAAACCCATTGCGAAGATTTCACAATACCGATAACATTGTGCAATATACAAGTTTGCACGAAGTTTGTGCAGGTTTTGTTAAGCGACGGACGCTGATTAAGAAGTTCCAAACTAATTTTGCACAATGTACAAAATGTAACAGATTTTAGTTAGTGTCTGTTTGTGTTGCGTATCGGTGTATTGTGAAATTATTCGAAACTTTGTGTTTGTTGTTCCAGAAATGTCTTTATTAGAATTACGTTGTTTAAGTTCGATATTGTACATACTATTCTGTTTAATGTCATGTTGCTTAAACTGTAATTACTACAACTACAAACTACAACGGTCTAACTAGCATACCTACGTGTTGCGATTTCATAGTGAATTCTAAATTCGTCAAATACGAATGAATATATAGCAACAGATTGTTTCGCCATATTTGACCTACCAGGCTGACATAAACGATACAAAGTCATAACTTCGACACCTATACATGCTAATCTCCATTCAGCACAATCGCGTCCATATCGCACATGATGTAGCAACTATCGCTAAGCCTGTACTTAGCAGATTGCCAGCTCAACGCTGAAAGCGCTAGATTGTAGAATTAGCATAATACCCCAATTTTGCTGTAGTATGCGATAGCTGGCTAATTAGTGCCGTGCACCGAATAGGAAAGCGATTTAATAGCTTAGTTCCGATGTTCTGCTGAGAATTTTAATCAATTATGGGGCTCATTGTGTTGGGAATGTTGTTTGGCAACGGACTGAATTGTAACCGTGAGTGATTCGATTCATCTATCTATTTACAACCGTTGTAGCTTCCACTACAAACAGAATATTATGCAGTTTCTAATTCAATATTATTGAAATAACAATGCCTCTTGATATTAAAAAGTTATGACAGAAATCTTAATGTTTTTGACTTAGTTTTTAAAGCAAGTAGTTGTTTATCTTCAATTATTTATCTTAGATTTTGAGACGATATCCCTCAGGCGTTGCTGCGTGGGTTGATAGAGAATAAACAACGAGCTGTTTTCGTAACTCTTGGTATTGGACTTGCAGAGTCTTGGAAATACATTGAGATAAAGTCATGTATATCTAGGAAATTAACTAAAAGAAAGATTCTCATTTATTTGTACAGGGAATAATATTATAAATAGAAATGAACTTGTAATAAAATAATAACTTATATCGAGCAGGAAGCATATGATATTAAAATACTGGTACAGTTTTTCCATGAACTTATAGACTTGACTAGAGTCGTAACAATTTAGAGGTATTAGTATAATCTTTTATTTGTAACCACATTATCGACTTCTGAACTTTAATTAACTATATACCATTAAGTTTTCATTGATAGGTTTTACACCTCTTTATCATTTACCATAACAGCATATTATATGACATTTATGTTAAGGTCAATTAATTTTCCAGCTTAGTTACTATGTCATTAATGCAATAGTTTTAGATATTAATTTTTTGAACAATATAATCAATCAATGTAACTGAATAAACCGCAATGACGTTAGGAACTTATGCTACCCAGTAAAATTTTGTGGAAATTATGTTAACGTAATTGATGCGGGGAAACAGCTCTGAAATCAAGCGACGAAAAACTTGTATTTCCAACCACGGATTAGAGACTCCATGCAATCCGCAGCAATTTATTTAGTTGCACCAAACTGAGTTTCAAAACTTTTTAAACCAACTAGTGACAATTTTGCAGCAAAAAATTGTCCAACCCGAAATGTTTTTGTCCGAATTCATTCGGCAGCTTTTGAATATGTTTTGTGAACTTCGATATATATAGATATTATATGTTAACGATACGTTTTGTTATACGTTGTGCTTTGTTGTTGTGGTTGATGTTTTGTTCTTGTTTTATTCATCTTTTATATATTTTTTTATTATTTATATTTTTCTTTTTTTACCTGTACTACTATACAATTTAATTTGCGTTTTTTTTTCTTTCTTCTTGTTTTTTGTATTTTTAATCTACTCGTTGCTGTTCTAAATTGATATGATAAGTTAACAGGCAGATAAATGAATATTATAACGTAATTGAATAAAGAAATTGGAAATTATTTTGTCCTATGAAATTGTTTTAAACATGAATATACTGGGAGACAATACGCATGAATGCTCTCTCTCTCTCTCTCTCTCTCTCATAATACATCTAAATCCGGTTGTGTAAGAGCAAAATATGAAAGGTATTCAATTTCGCTCGACTGCGAAAATATGATTCATAAAAATTCATCCCGCTCACAAGTACATTAAATTGTTGCTAAGAAAACTTAGCACCGGGCAATTCTCCATCGCAAATACAAAGTAGTTGTGAAGAAAAACATAATTAAAACAAAACGCTTCGAGTTACCAACAACTATTACCAGGAGAGCATAGCACACAATGAATATAAAATTAATTTATGAGATATAAGGAAACTGAGTTTGCATCAAAATGTAGTCGTAAAAATGGGTTTCGAGAAAAATTTTGTCAAGGTACATTTTATTCGAAGATTTTCCTTCACTCAAGTTAAATGAAGCCTCAGTAATTATGAGAGTTGTTTATATTTAAAATATTCATTTTCTTGGCGCGCGTCTGTATTAAGTTTGGTAAGATTGCCCTGCTTCGATTACGTTAAACTGATATCACTTACATAAATTACTCGAAAATGAAATTGGAAACGGCGTCTTGTTTTTCAAATACCTAAGTATTGTAGTTAAAGTAAAAGTCAAAAGAGGTAGACAACCAAGATTTATATCAGACTAGCTTTTACCCGCGGCTTCGCTCGCGTCACAAAAGGATAAAAAGTAGCCTATGTGACATATATCAATACACACAGCGCCATCTGTACCAATAATTTTGTTTTCCCTCGAGAATATCAAATTTTTCCGGGATAAAAAGTACCCTATTATTTAATCCAGACTTCTAACTTCACGTCTGCAAAAATTCAAAGCAATCGGTTTAGTAGTTACGGCGTGAAAGTGGAACAAGAAAACCAACAAACAAACTCACTTTCCGATTTATAATATTAGTAAGGATTATACCTACTACCTTGGATCATGTTATATATTTGTAAACTATAAATAATGTGGTGGTCTCGACCACTACTGCCAAGTAAGTGATGATGATTCACAAGCCACTCTTCATGTTACGCAGAAGATTACCGCCTATGACTACACAGCGTAATTCCACTCTCACAGTATAATTTATGAATATTTTATGCAGTAATGTTCTTTGTTAAAAGGCACGAAGGTACTTGATAACTTTTCTTAAGTCCCACATAAATTATTAACAAAGGTTAAGCACGGGGATAAGTGGGTCTAGTAGGTAAGACAAAATTCTGTGATGAAATTTTCATTATAGCGAGCGAAGAACACCTCTCTCTAATCTTTTAAAGTAAACGTCATATGTAACAAGGATTGTCTCGTCCGTTGTATGTTCAGCTGGTCACTGGTTT